CCAAGAAATCAAAGAGGAAATAAAAAAATACGTGGAGAACATGAAAATGAAAACAAAATAGTCCAAAATCTTTGGGAGGCAACAAAAGCTGTTCTAACAGAAAAGTTTATAGCAACACAGGTTTATCTCAAGAAACAAGAAAAATCTCAAGTAAACAACCTAACATTTAAAGGAGCTGGAAAAAGAAGAACAAACAAAGCCCAATGCCAGTAGAAAGAAGGAAATAATAAAGATTAGAGCAGAAATAAATGAAATAGAGACTTAAACAGTAAAACAGATCACTGAAATCAGGAGCTCGTTCTTTGAAAAGATCAAGAAAATTAATATACCCTCAGTATAAAGGCACTACATAAAAAGATAACTACAGGCCAGTATCTTTCATGAACATAGATGCAAAAATCCTCAACAAAATATTAGCAAACTGAATCCAACAATATGATAAAAATCATTCACCATAATCAAGTGGGATTTATTCCAGGGATGAGAGGGTGGCTCAATATTCACAAATAAATCAACATGATACATCATATTAACAAGAGAAAAGACAAAAACCATATGATCTTCTCAATAAAAGCAGAAAAAGCATTTGACAAAATCCAGTATCTGTCATGATAAGAACCCTCAACAAAGTGGGTTTAGGGAGAACATACCACAATATAATAAAGACCATATATGAAAAATTCACAGCTAGCATCACACCCCATGGTGAAAAACTGAGAGCTATTCCTCTAAGATCAGGAACAAGACAAGGATGTCCACTCTCACCACCGTTATTCAACCTAGGAATCAAAGTCCTAGCCACAGCAGTCAGACAGGAATAGGATATAAAAGGCATCCAGATTGGTAAGGAAGAAGTAAAACTTTCACTATTTGCAGATGACATGATACTAAATATAGAAAACCCTCAAGACTCCACCAAAAACTGCTAGAACTGATAAATGAATTCAGTAAAATCACAGTATACAAAATATACAGAAATCAGTTGCATTTCTATTCACTAATAATGAGATAGCAGAAAGAGAAATTAAACAATAATCTCATTTACAATTGCACCAAAAAGAATAAAATACTCAGGAATAAATTTAACCAAGGAGGTAAAAGACCCATACTCCAAAAACTAAAGAACACGGATGAAACAAACTGAAGATGACACAAACAAATGGAAAGATACTCCATGCTCATGGCTTGGAAGAATCCATATTGTTAAAATGTCCATACTACCCAAAGCAATCTACAGATTCAATGCAATATGTATCAAAGTAACAACAGCATTTTTCACAGAACCTGTTGCTTCTTTCTGTTCTTAGGAGAAAAGCCCAAATCCAGTAAATGGTCTGCAAGGTCCTGCATTGTCTGTCTCCAGTACATCTCTAGTCTCATCTTATTCCATGCTTCCCCTCACCCTACACTTCATCTACAGTGACCTTCTTTCATTTTCTAGAACATTCCATGCTCCCTCCATCACAGGGCTTTTGTGATGCTCTTCTCATTTTCTGGAATACTTTTTTCTCCCATGTGGTAGCCATAATAATGTTGTCCCTACCATGTCCATGACCTAATTCCTGGAATTTTTTAGTATATTACCTAACATGCCCAAAGGGATATTGTGGATTTGATTAAGGATGTTGAGATTGGAAGGTTATCCTGGATTACCCAGGTGAGCCTAATGAACTCACAAGGGTCCTTATGAGAAGAAGGTGGGAGAGTCTGGGAGAGGAGGAGATGTGACAATGTAAGCAAGAGGTCAGAGTCACAGAGAGATCTGCAGATGAAGAAGGGGCACTGATGAATGTAGCCAGCCTCTGGAAGCTGGAAAAGGAAAGAAGTGGATTATCCCCTAAAGCTTCAGAAGGAACACACCCTAGTCAACACATTGATTTTAGGACTTCTGGCCACCAACACTAGAAGATAATAAACTTATGCTGTTTTAGGTCACTGGGTTTATGGTAATTTTTACAGCAGAATTAAGCAACTCATACACCCACCTTCACCAGTAACTACATTGTTCACTGATCTCACATCTAATCCATTTTTAAGACTTCCTTAAAATCCTTAATTGAGGTAAATGCCCCTTTTATATATTATCAAGGCATCCTTTGTATCACCAATTAAGGTTGTAGCTGTACAATTATTTACATAATTAATTATTTAACTCATGCATTCTCCTTTACTAGACTGAAGCTCCACAACACAAGGAACCACATCTAATTTTGTGTACCAAAGTACCCAGCAAAGTACCTGGCACATAACAAGTGCTCATGGATTTTCTTTCACTTCAGCACAAAAAACAACCTGCTGTCCTCTACCATCAGTAATGCCATTTTGGTAGGTAACCTGTGGAGGGTCTTTCTTTAGCCATCTTGCTCAGCACTAAATGGCCCCTGAATCTGAGGAGCTGTGAGTTTCTTCAACTCAAAGAAATTTTCTTCTATTATATATTTGGGTATTTCCTCTCTTCACTCCCTTCACTCTCCTTCTGAAATTTCTATTAGATAGATATTAAAACTTTGGTCTACCCCAATTCTTTGTGCCCTCTATGCAGCATTCCAGAAGAACTACACAGCTCAATCTTTCAGATTGCTAATCTGATCTTTAGCTGTCTCTACTCTGCTTATTAGTACATCTATATGGAAATTTTAAATATAATCAATGAAATTAGAACACAGAGATATCCAATTGATCCTTTATGAACTGGCCTCTCATCCCTCTAAAATATATTGATTATGTGTAATTTCTAAATTATATTCTCCTTGCTCTGCAAATTCTATTTCCTTGAGTATTAAGTCATTCACAATGTGGGTTTCCTTAAATATTTTGTAACCCTCATTGTACAATATGCCCTTTTACCCATCTGTAGTTGTATCTATTTATTGCAACCTGCAAATTTCGTGGAAGGATCTAGATATGGTGTGGGTAGGATGGGCTGGCAGTTTTTTGTTCTTCACAAAGGAATTCAAGCCCCTCTTTAGACAGTCAGTAGATGCCTGGAACACATTCTCCCTCTTTAGTCTTAGGAAGACTTAACCGGTCTGAGTGCTGTTCCTTATTTAATCAGCCTGACCACTGAAGAACAGAATTTTTAGCAAGAAGCAGTTTTTCTTTGATCTAAAAAACAGAAGGGGCACCTGGGTGCTCAGTTGGTTAAGTGTCTGCCTTTGGCTCAGGTCATGATCCCAGGGTTTGGGGATTGAGTGAGCCCTGCATCGAGCTCCCTGCTCAGTGGGAATCTGCTTTTCCTTCTGCCCTTCCCCTTGCTTGTGTTCTCATTCTCTCGCTCTCAAATAAATAAATAAAATCTTAAAAACAACAACATAAAAAACCCAAAAAACAAAACAAAACAAAAAAACCACCAGAAGTTCTTAATATAAAGTCCCTAAAAAGATTTTGGAGTTCCACAAAACCCCAGAAATTATATACAGAATTACTTTTTCTATGTGCATTTTTCTAAATAGAAAGTTTATAGCTTTCCTAGGATAGCCAAAGGGTTCTTTGACTCTAAAAATGTTAAGAACCATTGCTTAAGGATTTAGGAAGGTGATTTTAATGTAAATCTGAGGGTTTTCTTGTTTTTGTTTTTTTGTTTGTTTGTTTTTTCAAGTTTTCTGCTTTTTCTAACTCTCAAAAAATAGTGCCAGCTTAGTAACAATGTTAACTAGTGGAAATCTGGTTGACCAAGATTTCATTATATTTATGATAAAGTCAAACAAATGGGATGGAAAATAAGTATCTTCAAAAGGGTAAGAGAATGTCACATTCACAAAATAACAAGGAGCTACTAAGGAGAACCTATTAGATGTTGTGAGAAGTTTTAAAGGACTTTAAAAATACTTGTACTTTCTTTTCATTTGATATTCTTATTAATGAAGACATCATCTAAACCAACATGTACTAAATGACTGAGACATCCTACCCAAATAATGATTATTAAAGGGAGAGATATAATACCAACTTCAGAAATAATGATCAATGTTCTAAAGAAAATAATTTAGAGTACACCACACATCTTGTTAGTCTTTGTACATCCAGCACCTACTGGATAAGTATTTATTGAATCAATAAGGAAATGGAAGAATGAGTTAGTCTGAACATGGTATTTTAAGAATTATCACTTCCTCCTTAGGAAGGCAGTGTGCAATTTTAAATGATTCATAAAGTAGAAAGACGGCAGAACTAAAAAAAGACAAATATAAAAGCTTATGCTAATAGATCAAATAATATGAGAAAATGCAACACACACACAAAAGTAAAATACCTAAGAATCCTACTGAATCAAAAGCAGATTAAATCAGTCTTTTCAAAAACATTATCACAAAGATGAATTTCAGTATCTATCAAGTAATGGTTTTAACAAAAGACAAAAGACTTACTAGGGGAGCAAAACAATATTTTGCTATCTACATTTTAAAATCTCCAAAGAAAAGATTAACAAAGTCAAAATAGAGGAATAAAAATCATGAAAGAACAGTAAGTAGGGCCCACAAGGAAAATTCAAGCTCTGGCAGTTCTAACAGAAAGAAAAAAAATATGGAGTAAACTATCTTTGCACTATATGAGGAAAAAAAAGCAACCCAAAGTATTTCTATTATTGTCTGAAAGATTAAATGAAAGTGATTATATGCCTTCCAGCTCTCTAAGAAAAAGCAGGGGCAAACATAAGAAAACCTCTCCTGATGAGACTGTGAGAACTACTAATGTTGAAAGAAGACACAAGAAAAAAAAGTCATCTCAAATTTTTAAAAGAGAAAAATTACAAAGGTTTAAACATTTTTCTGCCCAGAGATGGGGCTTACACCAGATTTCTCATGACCCTTTTCAGCTCTATACTCTGATCTATGGAGTAAAATAGATACCTCCTTTCAACGTAAATGAGTCCTAAGTTATTATGCAGAGAGAAGGAATTATTCTTCTTTGACCTGACAGGCTTCTAATGGTCAATGTTATACTCCAAGATCCAATTAAGACCAGCAGCACAACCACAGTAAGAAACAAAATAAACATACCTCCTGTTCTTCCATTACCAATCTGCAGAGCAGGCTGAAGGCTTCTCTCATTTTGCAATAAATGAGGCAAATGATAATAAATACTTGGCACTTGAAGAGATTTTTTGCTTGTTAACTCCTTTAATAGCTTTAGGGTATTATCTAAAACAGAAAAGCATAATTAATGCACAGGAGCACCTTACTTACAGAAGTTGCTAATTTTACAAATATAGCAGTAAAAATTTATGAGAACTAGAACTGTCCCGATTTCATACTTTGGTGAATAAGATCTCCATTTAAAATGAAAAAGGACACTTCTGCAACGAGTCTCAGAGTCCCATTGTTGACAGCACTCTGAAGAAGCTGAAGTACCCTGAGAAGGCGGAATGCTTTAATCACTTGCCATGATAAAGGTTCAGAACTCAGGCCCTGCAGAACACACTCTAAACATGCTACCCATTTATGAAAATATAATAAGCACATTCACCACCAATAACTTTCACTTTCCTTATGCTATTCTATTTTACTGAATTTTCACATGGAAGATATTTTTTTTCCCCAAAAAATACAAGTACAATAATTTAAACTGCACAATTTGAGAATGCTCTGTACAGATCCTAACTTTCAAGTAGCTTTTCCATTTTCCTTAGAGGAGTTAATGAATCCTTTAATATAATATGAAATAAAAACTCAATCTAGTAGGCAATATTGTTTTAAAATTCCAACTATATTATAATTTAACCTTTAAAATACAGAAGTTAGCAGTAAGGACTTAAAGCCTCGAAGATTTCATGCAAAACTCTATGAAAACTCCATTAAAAATATGACAAGAACCAAAAAATTCACAAAAGAAATGCAAATGACTGCTATATTAACAATTAATCTCATAAGTAAAGAAACAACTATAAATTACAAGACACCAATTTCAACCTATCAACTTAGCATAAGATTAAATAATAATATTAGAGGGATGCCTGGGTGGCTCAGTCGGTTAAGCGTCTGCCTTTGGCTCAGGTCATGATTCCAGGGTCCCGGGATCAAGTCCCGCATCGGGCTCCCTGCTCCGCGGGGAGCCTGCTTCTCCCTCTGCCTCTGCCTCTCTCTCTCTCATGAATAAATAAATAAAATCTTTAAATAATAATAATAATAATAATATTAGATATTGGTGGTAATGTGGTATATGTTTCAGCTCTTCAGAAGAGCATCAAAAACCCTAAAACATGTCTGCCTTACTAGTCAATAATTTCCCTTTTAGCAACTTCACTTTTGTACACTCAATAAATATTTAGTGATTATCTATTTTGTCCCAGCCACTGTGTCATGTGTTTAGAAATGTTAGTCATAGATCCTTGTTTTTAAGGAATTCATAATGTAACGAAATAACATAAGGACTACCAATTTATACACAAAGACGTTCATCGCAGAGTTATAAACTGGGGAGAAAAAACAACACAGAAAAACCCTATTTGCCTAGTAGAAAAATATTTAATACATTATGGTATATGGTTAACTGACATATGGCCATTGAAAATGGCATTTTTGAAGAGTATTCAATGACACAGTAAAATGCTAATAGCCTAATTTCAAAAGTAAAACAGGCTCTAACACACAATCACAATTTTGAAGAAAAACATAAATGGAAAAAAGACTAGAAGGAAATAAAAAATGTTAATAAAAAACACTTGGCAGAGCAGGCTTATGGGTGGCTTATTTTTTATTATCTATACCATTCCATAATTTTAAATGTTACTGTGTCATAACACACATTTCACAATCAGGAGGGGAAACACGGAGCATGAAAATTTAAAAATAAGGTCAGGTAGTGAATCTAAGACAAGAGGAATGAATGCTAAAGGATGGAAAAAGATGCTGCTAAATGAAAAAGTATATTAATCTTGAAAGATTATATAAATTTTGAGGTAACTGATTATATACATATGTTAATTTAATTATTAGACTAAGAAAATCACAGAAACAGAGAGGATAATTGACATTCATCTTACTCTAACCATAAGTTCTTAGAGAAGGAACAGATCAGATACCCCCAAAAGTACACACTGTAATAAAACCATATTTTTTTCTTATAAGTCAGAGATAAGAGTACTAATTGCTTCAAATAGCTCAAAGGTTCTCCAGAGTCTGAATAAGGTCCATACAAGTCACAACATAAACATGTAAAAACACAAAATTAAATTTTTAATCTCATTTGAAATATGCTTTTTAAAAGATCTGGCTTGGGGCGCCTGGGTGGCTCAGTCGTTAAGCATCTGCCTTCGGGTCAGGTCATGATCCCAGGGTCCTGGGATAGAGTCCCATGTGGGGTTCCCTGCTCAGCAGGGAGCCTGCTTCTCCCTCTCCCACTCCCCCTGCTTGTGTTCCTTCTCTCACTCTCTAATAAATAAAAATTATAATAATAGTAAAAAAATAAAAGATGTGGCTTTTTGCTATTGGGGAAATTTATCCAACTGAAATCTAAATCAATATTACACTACTCCCTTAAAATCAAATTTAACAATTAAAATTGTTTTATAATTTACCATTATAGGAAAGTTTTGTGTGATGTTTCTCTCTGAAAACAGTAATAAATATTGGCTGATAAGCTACTTTAAACGACTTTCAAACAAATTACTTCACATAACCCCTTGAAAATACAATTTTTAAACTAAACATATTATTTGTACCTGAAAATTTATTTAATGCATCCTTACTTCCATTTGCTTCTGCTCCTACACGCTTGAACTGTTGTACAATGGCGTTTAATTCAGAAGAGCGCTGAGAGATTCTATGTTCAGCTATTCGAAGACGTTCTTTCAAGGCAAGAAACTCTCGTTGATAAGCAATCAGTTTTTCTAGAAGCAAAACCAAAAGTTTTTAATATATTTAAAAAAAACATAAAATATAACTGTAAGATCAGAAATTTTAAAGTCACATTTTCCAGAAAAAGATATTCATTTATGTATTGATACAGAACTGAAAATAAGAGCCCCAACCAGTTATATATAACAAAGTCTTCACTAATGTAATGCTCCTTTTTGCTTTTTTAGCATTAGAAAGCAATTTATTTTTTTCCCTGAGACTTTCTTTAAATTTCTTTTAATTTAAATTCAAGTTAGTAAACATATAGTGTTTTATTAGTTTCAGGGAATTTAGTGATTCATCAGTTGTATATAACACCCAGTGCTCATTCCATCACATGCCCTCCTTAATGCCTGTCACCCAGTTACCCAGTCCCCCACGCACCTCCCCTCCAGCAACCCTCAGTTTGCTCCCTATAGTTAAGAGTCTCTTATGGTTTGTCTCCCTCTCTGTTTTTATCTTATTTTTCCTTCCCTTCCCCTAATGTTCATCTGTTGCTCTTAATATCTGTAAGAATGCAAGCACTTTCTACTTATCACTTAAGAAATATAAAGATAGGGAGAAAAGGACAAAAGTTTTTAGGATTAACACTTCAAGCATAATACTAACATCATTTCTCAAAAGGTTCAAACAGTTATAAAGACCTTATTTGAATTAAGACGACAGAGATGAAGTATTGAAATTGATGGTAATATATCTAATATTAAATTACCTCTTTTATAGCATAATTACTTATTTCCATAGGCCATTTCCTCTGTACTTCCTATTCTGCAAAGATTTCCCTAGGCCAGACTTTGGCCAAATTCCTGATTCCTAAAAACCCTATCAGGCAGATGTAAAAAAAAAAAAAAAAAAGTGGGATGACCCCAGTTAAAAGACATCTGTTTTAATTTGAGAGAATCACAAGTCAGGAAAACCTGATCTAGGAAATAAAAGTGGATTTTATGAGGATAAATGTAGGCATTGAAACCACAGCATCAGACAGCTCAGAGAGACAAAGTGCAGAGTGAGAAGAGGCCTAAGGACAGAACCTGACATCAAAATCTAAGAGATGGTGGAAGAAAAAGCATTCATTAATCTCGATCAGCAATGCTGAAAGATAGCTGAGGCTATGGGAATAGGAGTAATTTCCACAACCTCATTAAACTAAGAGAAACCCAAACAATGGTTTTCAACTTCTGTATCAAGCTGGATAATCCAAGGCTACTATTTTGACATCTAAACAAAACACACTTTAGAAAGACTACTTTTTATCTAATATTATTAACTCTGCTTTATTCAAGGATAGACTCAATAAGAAACAGACTTACAAAAAATAAATCTGCATGTTTCATAAAGCTAGTCTTAAAAACAGGCATTTATGTTGTTCCTTGTCCCTTACACAAAAGCCCACACAGTAAACATCTCTTCAGAATTTTGTGGCAGGGAAAAAAAAAGTCTGTCCTGCTCAACTGTCACTCTTCCCTATATTGAACAAGGACAGCCATGTAAGCAGCTGTATTCTGCCTTCACTTGCTGGCTGTAGGAGGGAAGGAAGGAGAAAGCAGGCTGTGATTAGGTTAGGCATATAGGGAGCTCTGAGGTGCCAGCAAGGTCCTAGTGACAGACCTGGGTGGTGGTCCAATAAAATTCATTATTATGCATTCATAGTTCAGGCACTTGTCCATACACATAAACTCATTAAATAAATGTCAAAAAGATACTATTCACAAACACAAAACTATAAACAAGCATAGTCTAACAAAAACTGTAACAATTATAACAAGAGATACTCAAGATTCATGTGATTAAAACTACAAACCCCTTACTGACCCCTATATTAAGAGTAAATGAAGTCACCTCTTAATCCTAAGTGAGAAGACGCAAATTTGTAAAAAAAAAAAAAAGATAAATTCTACCCTAAGTTAAATAATAAATTCAATTCAATACCTTTCAAAAAAAATAATGAAACCTTTTTGGAATATGACTTTTTACATGTGATTCTAAAATTCACCCAGAGGAGAGAATGTGTTTAAAGAGGAAAAATAAATAAATAAATAATAAAGGGGAACTTGCTCTGAGATCAGAACACACTAGAAGGCTACAGAAATTAAAACAGTGTGGACAGGAGCCAATTACACCAAGCAGGCTGCGTCCACAATCAGCTCGAGTGAGCGGTCCCTTCAGTTCTTCTCTCTTTACGTGAGCAAGTTAAAATCCTCTCCTGAATACTCATGCAGTGCTGAGACTGTGGTTTCTTGACACCATCCACCCAAAAGAGATTTAGAACTCTCTGGAGAATAAGTTTAAGACGAACCTCAAACAATCTGGTGTAAAGTAAGAAAACACTATTAAAACAAACAAACAAAAACAAAAACAAATACCACAGGACTTGTCGAAAGGGCACAACAAGGTACCTAAGGGGCTCCCGACCAAATTAGGGACACATTTAAGTACAAAACAAATATTGATAGTAACAGATGAGGGTGATGGGTTTCTTATAGCAGAGTGCCAAATAATAAATGTAGAAGGAATGATGAATGTTGGGGAAAAATCCCCATTTTGCAGCTATCACAGCAATAACTGATTCAGGCAAGAATCAAAAATAGATGCTAAGACTAGCAGGTCAAAGTGTGCTGAGGAACGGGGTATGTATGTCACTTCAGAGTATCTCCCTACAAAGTACTCATTAACTTACAAAGGAAAAAATATGCTAATTTTACCATGGAGAAACCTGGCAGATATCTTCCTTTAGTGATCAGAGTTCACATCAGCAACCAGAAAACAGACTTGACATGCCTCCTGATGTGAGGCAGAGAGGACACGTCTCATTTGTGTGGCATTCCTGCCAAAAATGCCTAATCTAAATCTAATCTCAAGGAAACATCAGACGCATCCAAACTGAGAGACAAGGTACAAAACAAAGAGCTTGTACTATAAAAAAAAGTCATGGTCATTGAAGACAAAGGCTTGTGAGGAACTGCCACAGACGAAGAGACTGAAGGAGCCATGACAACTCAGTGCAAACCATAGTCCTGGGCTGAAACCTGGACCAGAAAAACTCAACGCTACAAGGAACATTACTGGGAAAAAAATAACAGAATATGGGCTACAGACTAGATATTATGCCAATGTTAAATTTCCTAAATTTGATACTCATACTGAAGTACTTTAGCAGAATTTCTTGTTCCTAGAAAATAAACATTAAATTAGTTAGGGGTAAAAAGGCATGATTTCTGTAATTTATACCCAAAAAGTTCGAAAAGAAACAAAATATCTACAAACAGAAAAATTATAGAGGCAAAACAGTCACAACAGGTGAAATGTATCGAAAAGTCATTTTGTACTGCCCTTATGACTCTTCTTCCTTTGAAACTTTTTAAAAAAGTAAGCTGGAGGACTGGATGGCATACAGGTTAGGTCTTTTGGCAGCTCTTGACTGGGAAGGCGGGAATGGACAGGAGGGCAGTCTCCGTCCTTCTGTGCATTTTCTTGGTACTTTCTGAAACCACTTCCCAGAGTCCAGTTTCACCAATTAGGGAGAGTAACCAGTACCAGCAGAGAAATGTCCCCACCCCTAATCCCAAAACACTGCTCTGCTTTGAGGTGACCTGGCCAGGCTTCTGAAAAGATCCCTTGGGCCCACAGAGGGCTGGATAAAGTCCTAAGTATTTTCTTTCAGCCCAGATGCTAGTGTGGCTGTTAGCCCAAAGCCCACAGCTATGAAAGGGCCCCCAATGGGTCATTTCCCGTCTCTCACAGCCATCCTTGGTTTCTAACTCCATCTTTCCATATTAAAAGGGTTCTCTCCATGACATCAGAGCAAGTCCATACTCCATCTAGAAAGCCACGTCAATGAAAAGGAGTATGTGTGGTAAAGCCCTCAGCTAGACCTGCTAGGAATACCACAGAACGCTGTTGGCTCCGCTAACAGAAAAGAGTTACATATAATCTCCCCACAGCCCTCCTAAGAGTGCAGTCCATCCTCTGTCATCTACCCAAACACAGGCTCACTAGTGACTTCTAGAATTTTCTCTACCTATATTTCCCATAGTATTACACTGCTCCCTTGAGGAGAGTGATAGATCATCCCAGAAGTTCAAACGTTAGCATAATAGACAAAAAAAATTCCTTCAAATTAGTGATCACATGTTTGACAATTCTGTTCTCAACATTAGTAACACAATTCTTATTTTTGCTTTTCTTTAATCATTTCAGTTTCTGTTGGGGGATTGGCAGGAAACTGTGTGGGAACTCTTATACTATCACCTTACTGGGAAATGCCTAGTTTGTTTGTTTTTTTATTGTAGACCGAATCTAATTTTTTTAATTGCAGAAAATTATATATCCAGATGAGACAATGAAAGTACAAATCATGTTGCATGAACCTAAGACTCTAAAACATACAAAATTTCCAAAGAAACCACTTTATTTCCCTCAAAGCAAATAATCAAGCCAGTTTTCCACGGAAAAGTGTACCAATAGGTCCTCAAAGACTTATTAGGTTGAACCAGATGAAATTGCTGATATTTGATCATTTTTGACAAAAAATGTCAATTTCATGTGCTTCAACAATTTAAAAATAACAGCTTTGGACTCAACAATTTAAAAATGTGTGAACGGGCGCCTGGGTGGCTCAGTTGGTTAAGCGACTGCCTTCGGCTCAGGTCATGATCCTGGAGTCCCGGGATCGAGTCCCACATCGGGCTCCCTGCTCGGCAGGGAGTCTGTTTCGCCCTCTGACCCTCCTCCCTCTCATGTGCTCTCTCTCTCTCTCTCTCACTCTCTCAAATAAATGAATAAATAAAATCTTTAAAAAATAAATAAAAATGTGTGAACAATATAGATGAAAAATTAACACAAACAAAAAGGTACTAAAAACTAATACCCAATATGTAATATATAAAAACAGAGCAAAAACCTTCACTTTTCAAATAGTACCTCTTTATTAGCAAGATGTGGGGATACTATGGAATCCTATGAGCTAACGTTAAAAACTGGCTTTTTATGTTAA